AACAGACGGAGAGAGAGAGAGAGAGAGAGAGAGAGAGAGAGAGAGAGAGAGAGAGAGAGAGAGAGAGAGAGAGAGCGGACGCGAGAGAGAATGAGAGAGAGATTATAGAGCGAGAAAGACTGACAGACAGACAGACAGAGAGAACGACAGACAGACCGACACAAGAAAACAAAAAACAAAACGAATTGGTACCCGGTCAAACACGAGACACTTCCCGGCAAGGTCTTCGGGTTATTCTGAGGTCACAGCTACGTGAAGGTGAAAGCGCACAGTCAATGTTTTAAGAACGGGAAAAGTACTCAAGGCAAAAAGGAACGTGGAGTCGTCTCAGTTCTGGCGCCGCCTTTATAGAACCTGATTCTGTTTTGACTAATCACTACTTTGGAATCACAAAGTTCTAGATCTAGATCTATACGCCATTTTTGGCCGTTTTGAGTTACTAAGGCCATGACTTCAAATGCTCTATCTACCAAATGAAAATCGCAAAATTATTTGGAGTCGTTATCAAGACATTCAAAGAATTGCATAAGCTTTACATGTTGTGTAACTAAAAATAAATATCGTTAATTTTTTTCAAAATTAGTACTGAGCAGATAGGACGACGTAATTCTGAGATAGAAAAATGTCTTCCCTAACCAAAGACTCCGATAACTTTCACGATTTTTGTACATTCTGTCAGGTCAGTTTAGTTTTAGTAAGAGCTTTACGGCATTTGCAACACAATAAGGTAATGTAAATGCCGAAAATTAGAGGTATTACAAGAGAGAAAAAACACAAACAAGGAAGAGGTAAGAATAAGGACAATAGATGATTGATAGGAAAGAAAGAGGAAACTACACCAAATCACCAGCCAACCACCTACCTGTTAGGCCACAAAGATTTGCTCGTGCGCGTCACACAAACATCAGACAGACAAACATACAGACAAACAGGCAAACAGACATGCAACCTGACAGGCAAACAGACAGACAGACAAACAAATCTATATGAATTTCTGCTACCTTATCACATTTTTCGGTTTTAGGATGTTTCCCCCTCTCCTTCCAACCCCATAAAAAGATGAAGATGGAAAAGAAATAAAGATATTGTAGCAATAAAATACTAAATATCCTGACATACCTGTGGAACTTCTGCAGTGTCCGGTTGAATATTACTGTATTCTAGTTACGGTCAATGCGGGCCCAAGGTCGAGTTTTGTAGTGGAAAATTTTAAAGGATTCTCAACAGCCATCATATTTTTTTCGTTATACAGTCTCGACGTACCGTTCAAGGGAGATAGCCAACGATAACGAAGTCTGGAGATCTTCACACCACCAGCTGAACGCGTCACTACTTGTCCAATTACAAACGCAGCAAGACCCTTCTCTGTCCAGCTTTCCCTGTCCACACAGAGACATATTCTCTGTCTGAAGACCCCTAGACCCAAAACGAGGTTGGCTAGAGAAAATTGCCTCCCTCGCCCTTCGATTCACACGAATGGTCAGTCCAGGGTTTATTTCGCACCTCTCACCTGGGTGCCGATGATCAAAGGTTGTTGTCGGCAGTTAACTATGTTAGCTTGAAAGAAAGGGGGGCGGGGACTTTTGAGAAAATTGCCGAGATTGACCTGCAATGGAACTGGCGGTCCCATCGCGTGAACAGTGTTGATGCTTTGTGTACGCTGACGTATAGAACTACGGCACATAATTTATGGGTCTGAGGGGCCTGTACAGATCGATCTGGGGTTGGGGGTTTTTGGGGGTTTTCTTTTTAGTTGTCGGTTTTTGGGGGGTCGTTTATTGTTTTCATTTTTTTTTTTTGGGGGGGGGGGGCGCAGTCAGTCATTGTAGGGGACTCGTGTTGTTCGAATCTGATCTTGGCTTCAGAAAACTCGAAAAGATATTCCAACTTTATAATAATATGATAATGAAAATAATAGAAACCACTTCTGTGGCGCCCACTCTTTGGTGGCTTTATAAAAATTATGCTTCACAATAAAATAAAAGTTCAACAGTTTATACAATGCCACGAATCATGCATACAGGCCCACGTACAACGAATTCTGCAAATACATTATACAACCGTAATATACCAAGAAGCATGTTCAGACAAATGAGCATAATCTATATCTATAATCTATTTGTGGTGGCCGAATTTTGCTATTCAAAAGGCTTAGTAATGGCTGCACCGATCGACATGCGGTTTTCGCCAAAAGATTGTTTAAAATATTCTCCAGAGCATGACGCCCTTCGTTTTTTCAGTTTAGAGACAGTTTTGCTGCAAAAAGCTACATTTTTTTTATTTCGCTGATCGCTTTTGTAGGCCGACGCTTCTGTCTTTGTAATTTTAGAAAATCCGGAAGTGATATTTCGCGAGGCGCATTTTGTTTTGAAAGTATAGATCTAGACCTTATAATTTTTTGCATCTCTCAAGATTTATTGTCCCATTCCAGTAGAGTGTAAATATAGTAGGCCAATTAGTTTTAGTTGATATTAAAGCACCGATCATTCCTTTCATCGAATGGGGGCCCAGCTTGTAATATATAAGAGGACTTGAGAGGCTTTGTGCGCAAACTCCTCCTTTATTACCTAACCAACACCTTTGAAACTTCGCAAGCGTCCACAACATCCGTGTGGCTAGGACCTAACTATAAAAATTCCGCCCAAACTGCCATCCCCGATTTTTCCAAAATGCTTTGTTTCGTCCACACAGAGTTGTAATCTTGGGAAAGTCCGTCTTCTAAGATGCCTTTATAAGCCTAAACAAGTGAGATTTCCGTTCACTATCCGTGCGCGCTCAGCCACACCTTTGAAATTATGGAGTGTACAACCACGAAAGCGAAATAGAGAATCAATCTATACATCTACTATATTTTTGGCAACCTGGAAACACGTGTGTCACTTTTCTCTCAAGATGTATTGCTCCATTCCAGTAGAGTGTAAATGTAGTAGAGAAGGCCAATGACTTTCAGTTGATGTAAATGGACCGATCATTCCTTTCCTCGAAAGGGGGCCCAGCTAGTATACAATAAATTACAATCACTGTGGAAGCTGATCACTCTTTGCAGTTGGAAAAAAAAGACTGAAGCAAGCGGGTAAAATTAAAAAAGCTACATAATATAAGCTCGTGATCAGTTTTAACTCCAGATCCAGTCAACGTAGGCGTTTCTGTTAAATGCTTTGGAAGAGCTATTCAGTCATTTCGAAGATTCCATTAAATTGCATGCCGTGTTCATTGAAACTTAAATAATATCATACTTTGCGTTGAAAGTGGAGTTTAAGTCTAACTGAAACCAACCTTTGCTAAAACGGTTTTTATAGTTTGAGCATGTGGTTATTGATAAAGGCCCTGATTGTGGCAGGCAAGTTAATTCAAAATTAAAGAAAATATAGATAAGGCAACTCATTCTCTATAAGTCAACGTACAATTTTATTTGGCTGATTTATTGTAGTTCTCATTTTCCATACTTTCTTTAAATTGAATTAAAAAACACATCGATATAATTACTACATACAGAGAAGATAATTCATGAAACTGTACCAATATTAAAATTGATGGTGATAGTGGTGGTGGTGATGATGATGATGATGATGATGATGATGATGATGATGATGATGATGATGATGATGATGATGATGATGATGATGTAGTGATGGTGATGGTGGTGGTGGTGGTGTGGTGTGGTGATCTTATGATTTTCAGTCTTAAAGGAGCCAAAACCGACAAGTTTGGTAAACAACTACAAGTACAAGACACTTTATGGCATTCGTACAAGGCTAGTATTGTGAGCACCTCTCCGTTCCTACTGATACCATGTATTTGCCATTCCCTTTTTCTTCAGAACTTTAACTCATCTTGAAATTATATATTCTCCCTTCTACTCCTGATCTTTTCTCTCTCTCTCTCTCTCTCTCTCTCTCTCTCTCTCTCTCTCTCTCTCTCT